CGATGTTCAAAGCTCTGGGAATGGAATGCAACCCTTGTGGAGAGCCTATAAATGGACGCATGAGGGGCACCTGTTCATATGGATAAGATAGGGCTATAAATGCCCTTATCTTGCCACGGTTCTTCTAGGTCTCTTTAGGGTTAAGGCATACTCCATTCTGGGAATTTTTGGTCTAACTGGTTGTCTAGCTTCACATCCTGTTTCTATTGATTGTTTGTAACCAGCTTTTGCTGCAGCTATTACTGCTGATTAATATCTTGCTAATCATAGGTATGGATGGACTGTGTTTCTGTTTTAAGGCTCTGTTAGAAATTGCTGACGCACACACTATATTGTAAATTCTTATCTCTGTATACTATACTTCTGCATACCGATGTTATGTTAAAGAATTACTTCATCCCCATGTGACCATCTCACCTCATAATCAAACGACCCCAAATCCCTCACTAACCTACCCCCACCCTCACTAAACTTAATAGTAAATGCTGGTATATCCGGTGCATTGGCAGCATCACAGGACCAGAAGGCAGTGACCCCCCTGGACCCAGCTTTCACTATCTTGTGAGTGTCTTCTATTTCTCGACCTGCCAATCCGCCTGGGAACAAGGAAAGAGCCTCATCACAATGTGGGCTGCTGGCCAGATCCCACAATAGGTATACAAATCAAATAGTCTCAGGTTCAAATCCTTATTCGTTATTATTTAGCTGAATAACCTGGGCAGTTCACTGTTTGTTCTCAGTTTGCTCCATGGTAAAATGGAAGCAACACCAGATCATACCTAACTTGTGTGCCTATCACGAAGATGAAATGAAAATTAACAAAAAAATCCTTATGTAAGATCTATTAGTTAGTACTTAATGTTTTCCAATTGCAAGAATGTAAATTTAATTATAACTAAATTACACAATTTAACTCCAATTGTCTTACACCCAGAAATATAAAAATGCAAACCTATATAAAATAAAAATAAACAGTGACAGTGTGATAAAAAAAAAATAACAGGGCCAAGGATGAGATCCTAGTCTCAGTTTTATCACTGGCTAGTTTTGTGACATTAGGCAAGTCATTTAACCTCTCTAGAAACACCTATCTTAGGAATACAACAAAAGTGCAGATCAAGCTTCTTATTCCAGAGAAGGTTGAATGAAAGCTTTCCATTTTACTTCTATTAATCATGACACCAACTAACACAGACAAAAATATCTTCAAGAAAAGTCTAGTCTCTCTAGTCAAAGGACTAGGAAAAGGAAAGCCCAACAGGACAGAAACCATTTAGCCTTTTTACTTCTTTGTTGTGGAGGCAAATACCATGAAAAACATTTGACCCTTCCCAATTCTAAAAGGTCCTACAGCCCTGGAGTACATGGGCAGTACCTTGTCTTTCACCCTACTTTGCAATAACGAGGTAGTACCCTTCTCTGCTGAGCCTGTGAGCTGAATTGTGAGTTCTATTCCTAAGCTGAAGTAAAGAAACTCCCTGCAAGAGTCAGAGGGCAAATTAGGACTTCCAGCCTTCTTCTATAGTAATAAGGAGGTGCACTTCCCCTTGGAGCAGATATGGGCAGATCTCTGACTGTCTTCCCTCTGTAGTAAAGAGTAAGCTAGTATACCAGAGGGTTTCCTGTCTTCTGTTCCATATTCCATTTCCCAAGCTTGTACTGATGAGAATGTGAGATGGGCTCCTGTGGGAGTGGGTAATACAAAGTGGAGTAGACCAGAATAGCACTGCAGAAGCTTTATAACCTGCATTGGTATTTGAACTGCCGCCCACAAAAGTGAGCATTCAGAATCTAAATAGGCTATATGCTAAAATAAAAGATCTGTATAGTATCCAGGGTAAGTCTTACAACAAATATATAAAATGTCCAGGATATAGTCCATAATTACTCACCTTATCAAGAATCAAGAGAACATCAATTTGAGCGAATTGACACCAACAGTGAGATGATACAGATGTTGGAAATACAGAATAATTAAATATTTAAAAGCAGCTATTATAAAGCTTTTCCAATAACTATGAATAGTCTCAAAACAAACAAAAAATTAGGAAATTTTATCAAAGAAATAAAAGATAAAGAAGAACCAAGTGAAAATGTTAGAACTGAAAAATACAATAGAATAAATTTAAGAATTCAATAAAATAGCTCAATAGCAGAATGGCAGTAATAGAAGAATCTGTGAAATTGAAGACAGATCAGAACATATTCAAACTAAACAACACAGAGAAACTACATGGGAAACAACAAAAACTGAATTTCAGGAACTTGTGACACAACAAGAGATCTAACATTTGTGCCATCAGTATCCAAGAGTCCAAGAAAGAGAGGAAAAAGAATATGTAGTTGAAGAATAGTTGAAGAAAGAGTGGCTGAAACTCCTCCAAACTGGCAAAATACAAATCTATAGTTTCAGAAACCCAAACAGGATAAACCCAAAGAAAGTGGCACCAAGATCTATCATAATTAAACCTCTAAAAATTAAACAAAAACATAAACAAAGAAAATGTCTTGAAGGAAGGCAGTGAGAAAAGGTTCTTTACATATGGGGGATAACAATTCAGATGACAGTAGATTTCTTAACAGAAACCACAGAGGCCAAAAAGAAGTAGCACAACATTTTAAAATGTTGAATGAAAGGAATTGTCAACCTAGAATTCTATGTCCAGTGCAAATGTACTTCAGAAATGAAGGTGAAATGAAAACATTCTTAGATGAAGGAAAGCTAAGAGAATTTCTTGCCAGTACACCTGCACTATAAGAATGACTAAAGATAGTTCTGCAGATCTGAAAGGATATGATAAGCTTGTAACATCAGAAATGAAAAAAGATAAATGGACAGGGTAAATAAACAGGTAAATAAAATAGACTATTATTCTCTCGAGTTTTCAAAATTGAATTTAACATTTAAAAGTAAAATTATAATATTATCTGATGTAGTTCTCAACGTATATAGAGATAACACTTATGACAATTATGAAGTAGAGAGGGTAAAGGAACCTAAATGGTTGCAAGATATCTATATTTCATTTGAGGTAGTAAAATTTTTATACTAATAGACTGCAATCAGCTACATCTGCATATTGTAATCCTTAGAGCAATCACTTGTAAAACACAATACAAAAAGAGCTGCTAAAATCACCTCAGATAAATAAGAATAAAATTATTTTTAATATGTTCAAGTGATTCACAGGAAGATGGGAAAAGGAAAATAGAGGCATAAAAAACAGGAAAAACAAAATAAATAATAAAATGCTAGACAAATCTTAGTATGTCAATAATTACATTAAATATTAATAGTCTACATTCAGCAATTAAAAGACAGAGATTGCCAGAATGAAAAAAAGACCCAAGTATATGCTGTTTTCAAGAAACTAATTTCAAGTATAATGATACAAGAAGGTTAAAAGTTAAAGAATAGAAATGCATATACCGAGCACATACTAATCAGAAACAAAGTTGTTGTGGCTATATTAATCAGATAAAGTAAAGTTTAGGCAAATACATTTTGAAGAATTAAGAGGGACATTACAGGATAAAGGGATCAATTCACTAAGAAGACATGATAATCTTAAACGTGTATGTGCAAAACAACAGAGTTTCTAAATACATAAAGGAAAAACTACTAGAACTGGGGAGAAATAGATACTCTCAATTGTCCTTGGAAACTTCAACATTCCTCTTTCAGTAATTGATAGAATAAGTAGACAAGAAGTCAATAAGGACAGAGGCGAACCAAACAATATCATTACTCAGTAAAATCAAATTGATATTGATATCAATTACTTCACCCAATAATAATTTATATCAATTATTCCACCCAACAATACATATTTTTTCCAGCCTGCATGGCACATTTATCAAGATAGACTATATCTTGTGTCATTTAATCAACCTTAACATATTTAAAAGAACTGAAATTGTACAAAGTATGATGTTTGACCACAATGGAATCAAACTGGAAATAATTAACAGAATGATAACAAGAAAATCTCCACATACTTGGAAATTAAACAACATATTTACTAAACGAGGGCACAGGTTTGGGGGCTTAGCTTTAACATTCTGTGACTAATTCTGTCAGTCAGTATTACCAATGGGGTATTTCTCCCATAAAGTGATAAAACTTGGTCTATCAATATTTGAGTACAATATACAGCCATGTGTTTAAAGCACTGCAGGTATGTGTAGGGAAAGGAGAACTAATATTTGTTATGTACCAACTATAAGCCATGTCAATATTGACCACTCACTATTTTAATCTTCATAATCACTTGTCTTGCTGTTCTCTCTCAGCAAGATACCTGTGCTGAGTGCCAGGAAAACCGGCACTGGTTTCTTGAGATAGAGTTTGATGGCTGAGAGAACTTGAAAGATTCGGTCACCAGAGTTGGGGAGCCCTGATGGGAGATTATTGCATAGAGGCAGAAAGAGGTTGTATCAAGAAGGGTCCCAGGTGGTTCAGTCAGGAGTCTGAATACCGTTTGGCAAAAATTTAAGCAGAGGAGGAACATTTTAAAATTATTACTTAGTGAGCGTGCACTGCAAGGGAAGGAGACTGAAGGTGGAGGGATCAATTAGTGTGGTGGGAATAACTCAGTTGAGAAGTGATGAAGATTGAGGTAGTATTATCACCACTTTACGTATGGGAAATGAAGTTTCTCAGAAAGAAAGTATAGCGTTTTTGAGGACAATCACATAAAAGAGGACAAGGTAATCACATTACAAATAAGGTGTTCCAATAATGTTTAACATGACGACATGCAAATTAGTAAACATTTAATAATATTCCATCCCTAGAAAGTGTAGGTGGAATCATGCCTGTTAATGGGTTAGGAAACGAAACCCAAAGTGGGTTTTACCAGGTTACTAGCGTTAGCCACACCACTTCCTGCCCTTCAACCCCGACTCCACCCACGCTCCCGGAACGTCCGGGAATGTCCCTTGGTGCTGCAGAACAGGGTTAGGGTGAGGACACGCCAGGTACCTTCTCCCGCTCCTACCTGCTGAATCTCCAGGTGCGACTGCTCGAAGTTCACATGGAAGAAGTTGCCAACGAAGGGCAGGGGCCAGGGCCCCGGCGGGTAGTTCTTTGGACGCCGTCTTTTGAGAAAGTCAGCAACGAGCAGAAAGGCGACAGTGCCCAGCAGGAGAGTTCGAGGATGGACCACTGCCCAGAGGGCAGCCGCCAGAGAGCCTAGCGCTGCGAGCATGTCTCAGACGTCCTCCTGCTCTTCTGCGGTCTAAGCAGTCGCAGGTCCCCGCAGCGCCTCCCCGCCCCGCCTCGCTCCCAGCCGCGCCCCGCCTCCCAGCCCCGCCCCTTCGCTGCACCCCGCGGAGTTGTCAGGCGCTAGATTCCCGGGAGGACACGCACCAGTCTTACAAAAGACCAGGCTAGGAGCAGTTTCTTTTCTATTCAAGAAGCCCATGGGTTTACTGAGAGCATCACAGACATTTGAGCCTCTGTTCGTTTCTATCACCGTCTCTCCCATGATTGGAACCATGCCTGGTAAATAGTGATGACAACAGCAGTACCAAGAAACAACATTTCTTGGGCTCTTACTAAATGCCAGACAGCACATCTGCCTCTTTATAAAGATTATTATTTCATTTTGACAAAATTATGCAGGAGAAGCTCTCGGTAGTCTCATCTTGCAGTTGAGGAAACAGAAAGGTTAAGTACTAAGTATGTGGTGAACAAATAAATCCACCCTCTGAAACACATCTAAACGAGGTCCTGTATTTGAAAGTGTTTGGAAGATTAAAAGGCACTACATTAAAGCTGCTAGCACTGAGCAGCATTCATAATAAGTGCTTAATGAACATTTGTTGAAGGAATGTCTTAGTCCTGATCCTTGCTGGTTTGCTTTGAAAGGCTCCTCTCCGAAGCCCCAAGACTGTGGGACCGCCGGGTTCTGGCCTTTCATACCATCTGGTGAGTGCCTGCTTGGGTCTCACAAATGGTGAGACTCAAAACATGAAACATAGCTTGGGAATAGTATAGTATACACTCATGTACTCAACATAGAGTCACATATTCTGCTTACAATATTTTATTTCTTTATTTATTTTTGAGATGGAGTCTTGCTCTGTCACCCAGGCTGGAGTTCAGTGTCACCATCTCAGCTCACTGCAACCTCTGCCTCCGGGTTCCAGCGATTCTTCTGCTTCAGCCTCCCATGTAGGTGGGACTACAGGCACGTGTCACCACGTTCGGCTAATTTTTGTATTTTTGGTAGAGACAGGGTTTTGCCATGTTGGTCAGGCTGGTCTTTATCTCCTGACCATAGGTGATCTTCCCACCTTGGCCTCCCAAAGTGCTGGGATTACAGGCGTGAGCCACTGCGCCCAGCCCCCTTTTTTTTTTATTTTTTGCATTAAAAAAATGATGCAGGGGAATGACTTCCATAATGGCAGCATGAGAAACCCCATAAAACCTCATCCTAGTAAAAAACTGTGATTGCTAAAAATTATTTGTAAAACTAAAATAATTTAAGTCCCTGAAAATTGTTATAAAGGCAGACAGTAAATAAATAAATTTTATTTAAGAAGAATCTACTAAACCCTAGTAAACACAGTAAGAGTCTGTGGCATTTGAACCATAACCCACTCCTTCTCCTAGTCCTCAGATCAGTGTGACAGAAACCTCATTCTAGACAGTTATATCCAAGAACACTTTCCCTAGATCCCAAATAAAGGCTACAGTATCTCCCTGAGAGGGAAAAACTGCCAGCATTTCTCATACCTAGCCCCCCAAATTTCATGTTGCAGAAGCTCTATTCTAGGCAAGACTGGCTAAGAAGTCTAGGGATATCCTCCTCCATCCAGCCCTCACTTGTAATGCAAAAACAATACCTGCCCCATGCCATAATTGCCCTCATCCCAGCTTGCTCATGAGATAGAGGTTCCACAGTGGGAGAGGTTAGCCACAAACACCACAGATGAATGCCTGAAACAATAGAGATTTTGGTGGTAAGCAATTAAGAGAAGGCTGGCAGTTCTATGAGAACAAGAAGCTAAACCACAGGCTAACTAGAAGTTTACCAAGTCAGTCAGCACAAGAGTTAGCCAGGAAAAGCCTTCCTGGGATCAGGACAAATCTCAAAGTCTGGCCTCAAAGACTATTCCTGAGAAGCAGCCCAAATTTAATTGGATCAAATTGTGAAGCAATGTATGCATTGTTGAAAACAATAGAGCAGTCAGCTGGAAGTCAGCAGAGACTGTGTGTAATACCAACAGAGGCAGACGGTTTTAAATATAGAACAGAGAAAAAGATAGTCAAAGAGAGCCCTGCTAAAGCCAATGTCATTGTATTGTGACTGTGTGCACACCCAAGTCCATGCCCTCAGGTAAGTGACATCAGAGGCTTTACACTGTGGGGAAATATGTTTCACTAAATTAGTCAGTCCTGTCAAGTCAGTAAACAAATGAAAGTACAAACAAAAAGAATTGGAAGAGAAAGGCAGATCATTAGCCATAATTGCCATAATATATTATCTAAAATGTACAGTTTTCAACAAAAAATGATAAGACATGCAAAGAAGCAAGAAAGTGCGACCCAACAGAGGAAAGAAAGCAGGCAACTGAAACTGCCTGTGAGACAGTCCAGATGTCAAACAGCCAGGACTGTAAAGCAACTTAATTATAAATATGTCCAAAGAACTAAAGAAAATCATGGTGAAGAAAGTAAAGGAATGTATGAGACAATGTCTCAACAGATAGAAGATATCAATAATGAGATAGAAATCATAAAAAAAAAGTGGAAATTGAATTCAAAATTGCAATAACTGAAATTTTAAAAATCACTACAGGGGATCAACAGTAGATGTAAAGTAGAAAAGGAAAGAATCAGTGAGCTTGAAGATAGCTTGATAGAGATTATGCAATGTAGAGGACAGAGACAGAAAAAAAGAATAAACTATATCGGAGAAATGTGGGACATCACTAAACACACCAGCATATATGTCATCAGAATACCATAGAATACAATGGCGAGAAAAGAGCAGAAATGTATTTGAGGAAATAATAGCTGTAAAATTTCCAAAATTTCATGAAAAACATTAATCTATGTATCCAAAAATTCCAGTGAGCTCCAAATAGGATAAATGCAAAGGAATCCACATGCAAATACATCATAGTAAAAATACCTCATAGTAAAAACACTGAAAGACAAAGACAAAGAGAAAATCCTGCAAGCAGCATGAGAAAAATAGTTCATCCAATAAATTGGAACTCCAAAAAGATTAACAGCTGACTTGTAATTAGAGAAAATGGAGACCAAAAGGCAGTAGGATGATATATTCAAAGTGCTAAAAAGAAAAGAAAAAAACTCAGAAAACTGTTAATCCACTTGAGGTGTGTCCACCTCTTGGTTATTGTGAATAACTGCTGCTACAAATGAAGGTGTGTAAATGTCTCTGAGATTCTGCTTTCAATTCTTTTGGGTGTGTTCCCAGAGACAGAGTTGCTGGATCATATGGTAGCTCTATTTCTTAATATTTGTAGGAACTACCATGCTGTTTTTCATAGGGATTACACCATTTTGCATTCCTAGAAGCTGTGCCCAAGATTTTCAGTATCTCCACAACTTCATCTGTATTTGTTATCTTCTGTTATTTTTTGTTATACTATTCATCCTAATAGGTGTAAAGTAGAATCTTACTGTGATTTTGATCTTAATTTCCCTAATAATTAGTGATGCTAAGTATATTTTCATGTTATGGTTGTTCATTTGCATATCTTCTTTGGAAAAATGTGTATTCAGGTTCTTTGCCAGTTTTTAACTGGGCTGTTTAATTTTTTACTGTTTAATTATGGGAGTTATTTATGTATTCTGTATATTAATCTTATCAAATATATGATTTGTGAATGTTTTCTCCAAAAAAAAGGTGTCAGCCAAGAATCTTATATGAAGCAGATGGTTCATTTTTTAAAAAATGAAAGGAAAAACAGTTATCTTCAGATTTAAAAAATACAACAACTGAGAGAATTTACTGCTAGCAGACTTTAATTTTTAAGAAAGTCCTTAGATTGAAAGCAAATGACCCTAGGTAGTAATTAGACTACATGGAAACACAAATTGCAAAGTTCATTATGTGATTATGAAAGATGCCATAAATGCATATTTCTTCTCCTTTCTCCTCTTAACTGCTATAAAAGTATTTGTAAATATGTCTGGTTTCTAGTCCAGTGTGAATGGAGCTTGGAAGTCATCACTCCTATCTTTGCAACAGAAAAAAGCTGAACAAACAGAAAGTTAACAACTCTTCTTAGATTGATCAGAAAAGTAAGATAACAGGGCAAACTCTTACCCCCAAAATGGAGACACACAGTCCGGGTAAATACAAACAATCATAGGTTAATGGATCAGAGCCTAGGGAGAGGAAACCAGCAGTACCACAGTAGGAAAATTTAAACTTTAAATTTAAAATTGAAATTTTATATTTAAGCTGTAATTGACAAATTGCTAGATGCTCAGTGTGAATAAGATTCAGAGTTTAGAAATTCTGGGGAGCCTAGACTTAGAGGGACCCCAGATTATCATTAGTTTTTCCTCTGGGAGCCCAACCAAGTTCTCAGCATTGTAGTGACCAATCCCCCAAATCATCAAGTTGATATTTTAAAAAGAAAGAAGAAAAAAGCTTGACATTGTGTACATGTTTTAATTCTTTTTAAAAAAATTAAAGCACACACATGGAAAAATACAAGTGAAACTGAGTAGAATATATATAACATATTGACTTAGTATTACTAGTGGGCAGAATACCAATGAGAAATTATCAGATTATTCCCTTTATTGGTCCTTATGCCACCCACATTTCTGAATAAACCAATAACCCATTAATCAATCATTACTAGTGATGACAACTAGTAAGTGATATTTTTTAGCATTAAAAACTGTTGAAAACCTGTTTATCCAAAAAGTGAACTCTATAAATATTAACATAAAATTTAGCTAGAATATTTCTAGGTATTAAGTTATATACCAAAAATTTAAAATGTATTTGAGATTAAAAAAGTAAGGCATATTTCCCAAGCAACAGTGATAATTTCTTATTTTGCAAATTTCTTATTTCAGAAATCAGGATAATTTGAGATTTAAAAATTTCATTAGTGATCTTACATCTTCTTCCACAACATAGATGCATTGTTTGACAACTAGAAGACATAAATGCTTTTTGAATGCTTTAAGGATTTAGTTAAACTTTAATTGATGTGATGTATTTTTTTACTAGGTAGTAACTTGGTCATCATAACTTTTATGTTTGCTT